AAAACGAATATACTAACAAGGTTCTTTTTTCTTTGAAATCCTCAACCAAAGTTTCGACACCGTTGACTAATTTGTTACGAAAGTCACTAAAGTGTCTATTTGCCGTTTGAAGCCATTCAATGCCTTCTGCCGAATTGAGTTCACATTTAAGAACTTGTCGTATCAATTCTTCAAAGGTACTCTTTGGCGGATTTCGAATGCGTAAAAATAGACATTTCAATTCTTCTAAAAAGTCACGGCAAGCCTTTACATTATTCCCCTGATTTGACATTATATTCAACGACCCAGTTGAGATAGAATGCATTAATCGTGACCCTTCTACAGCTGGAGTTTGCATTGACAAATGCATGTTATTTGCCAGCTGTAAAACATTAGGATTCATACATAACCACAAACAAAGCTGATAAATTGTCATCTCGTTAAATGGAGAAGGAATGTTCTCGTTAATTGTGTTTTAATGATGAGGTGTATCGTCAAATGTATTATTGAGAATATTCATTATATTTGCTCTTGACCCTAAAGGTGACGGCCTCATAGGTTTTGAATAAAATGCTCTGTTTGAGGGATCATAATAATCAGGACTATTTGTTCTTCTCTTTGAAGGAGCGAAATAGTCATCGTCTTGACTATTGACACCCGATGGAGATCTTGAATTTAGTCTTGAATTCGATATTGAAGGAACGAAATAGTCATTACCTTGACTATTGACATCCGATAGAGGTCTTGAATTCGATCTCGAAAGAACCTTTTCTTGACTATTAATACCCAATTGAGTTTGAATTCGGTCTTGAAAGAACTCTTCTTGAAAAATTTAAAGTCATCTTGACTATCGGTTCTTGATTCTAAAGCTGATTTCGGTTTAGAGGACAAGAATTCATTTCGGTTATTGGCTCTCGAATCTAAAGATACCGGTCTAGAAATCGTTTCTTCTAGAACTGACATTGATCTTCTATTTGTTCCCATTTCTAGAGCTGACATTAGTCCAGTAGCTTCTTTTTCTAGAATTGGTATCGGTCTTGAAGGTGTAATAGCTCACTATCCTCTTTTGAAACGTCGTTATCGTCCCCATTGTCGTCTTCATTTGGATTATTATTACCCTCGTTTGAAACATCATTGTCATCTTCGTTTGGACTATCACTATC